CCCCAAAACCCCAAAACCCCAAAACCCCATAATAGTAAAATTAGGAAAATTTATAATATTTTAAATATTTGATTTAAGCTAAAATGATTAAATAAAAATTGATTTTCAGTTTGAAATGGGAAAAAATCGATATCAAAGACGAAAACTATTCTCCAAGAACTGGGTAATTAACTAATACTCTTAGCTATGATAAGTATAAACTAATGATAAACTTATAGACACACAGTAGTAGAGAATAATGGTGATTTTTATTTATTTGGAGGGGCTGATTCTGACACAAGGACCAATGATCTCTTTATATTTTCTCTAGGTAATTATTTCAAAGCAAAATTTAATTTCATCGTCATAAACTCTTTTTAATATAGAAAAGAGAAAGTGGTTTAAACTTAACCCTAGAGGTATTCAATTACCAACTTCGAGATCAGGGGCTCAAAGTCTCTCGCATTAAGCTAGTATTTACATCTTTGGAGGCTACACTAGAAAGGGAGGAGAATATTTCAACGACATCTATGAATACAAAACTATCGAAGATGAATGGTAATAACAAGCAATTCTGATGAGTAAACTTTAGGATCGATCTCCAAGCAATAAACTCCCCTCAACCTAGAACTGATCATACTTTCAACAAATACCTTGATGATTTTTTTGTTTATGGGGGTAGAGACGAGATGCACATATTTAGCGATATTCATCAATACAAGATATGTAAGTTTTAAGAACCAGCTATTACTTGTTTTGTTTAACCCCCTGATCATTAAGATAAATATTATACACACAAATAATTTTGCTGTTAGCACTTATTTACTAAATATAGTTGAGAATAAATGGGAATGCATATCAAATTAGCTTTATGTGCCTTCCTAGGAGGACTAGTCATAATTACTAGAATAAGGACTAGTCGTCTCTGAACCAAAGTTAAGGTTCGGACATTCTTCTGTCATTTTTCACAATTTCATGTATATCTTCGGAGGATGGGATGGGAATGTCACTTTATCTGACTTAACAATCTTTGATCTTGAGTTGAAACTATGGTTGTAGCCTTACTAAATTAAAGGTCAAATAAAAGGCAGATATAGACACACAGCTATTTCAACTGATACCTCTATGTTTGTATTTGGCGGTATCGATTAATAATAGGAGAGATTTAACGATATTCAAGAATATGTCTATCAAACTTAATCTTGGACTAGAGTGATCACGGTTGGTACTGCACCGAGCTCGAGAACTTTTCATCAGAGTATTGCTTTCTAAGGAAATTTTTATGTTTTTGGAGGCTTTGATGGCATGAAAAGGAATGACATGTACAGAATATATCTTGGTGGAAATTCACCTGATTAAAATAGGGACTAAACAGAAGCATTATAGTAGTTTGATAAAAATTTCACATTGAAAGGACAAGATAAGCAGAAGCTTGAAAAAGTTTAGATATTTACAGATGATTATTACAATAGCATGGTAGTGGGTGAATGGATTAAGCTAAGGGCCTCTGGCTTGCTATTTACTCCGAGAACTGGGCATGAATGTTTGATATATAAGAAAAAGATTTATCTCTTTGGTGGTACTGATTAGGATGATAGAAAAAATGATCTTTACTCATACGACTTATACACTAATTAATGGGACAAGCTACTTTAGTAAGGAGAGATACCTATGCCCAGATCAGGGGCAAGAGGTGTAGCTTACAAGGACTGTCTGTATTTCTTCGGAGGTTATCAAAAGAAAAGTGGAGAATACTATAATGATCTGTTTTACTATGACTTAAATCGAAAACGCTGGGATAGAAATGTTTAAGTAGGAGAATATCCAAGTGAGAGAACAGATCACTCTGCAGTACTATACGAAGGACAATTGTATATTTTTGGAGGATATGATGGAAAGACAAGATTTTCTGACCTTTATAAATGCAATCTTAGAACAGCTTCCTTCAAGTGGAAGAAGATAAATGGTGATGGAACTCTGCCTCTAAACAGATTTGGCCACACAGCTGTCATCTATGAACATTCTATGTTTATATTTGGAGGATGGAATGGGCACGACACACTTGATGATATTTATTAATACAGCTTCTGTAAGTAAATATTCCCAATCAATAATTACATATAGCTTCAAATTATTGGTATGAGATTAAGAAAGTAAAAGGTACAAGGCCAAAGCCAAGATATAGACACACAGCTGTGGTATGTGGTGGATCTATGATAGTGTTTGGCGGTGTTGATACAGACTAATAGAGGTAACACTTGAAATTATTATATAGTAATTGCTCTTAGATTTAATGATGTATTCACTTACGAGATTGATAAAAGAAGATGGTCTGTTATTCAAACAACAGGAAATTAGCCTTAAGCAAGAACATTCCACAAGTCAGTCATATACAATAATATCATGTTTGTAATTGGCGGTTTTGATGGTTCAAGGCTAAATGACTTACATCACATTGCCCTTCCTTAAAGTCTATATGAGGAAGATTATGATTAAATGCGAAGAATATCTAGACCAGCTTCATCTGCTTCAGGTATCATGCAGACTGTACCATCCGATTTAGTAAACTTAATTTCGAATCCTAAACCCCTATCTATAGCCTATGTATCAAACAGAGGAAGATAATAAAATGAAGGACATAAAGTATTTATAGAAGCAAGTATTGCTTCTACGGCGACAAGTAGGCGAACTTAGCTCTCTGCTAAAAGCAGAGCAAGAAAATGTTGATGACTGCAAAATATGCTTTTCAAGAGATATAGACACACTTTTCCTGGAGTGTAGTCACAGGGTAATGTGCTCTAAATGTGCTAGCAATCAAACAATAAAGAAATGCCCTATATGTAGAGTAGAAATACAAAGGATAGTTAAAACTTTTAATGTGTGAATCAATTAATCATATCATTCAATCTTCATTAATTAAAGTTTGATGGGGTTTTGGGGTTTTGGGGTTTTGGGG